CATATGCTGCTATGTCACACTCAAATTCCTCAGTTTACAGGTAAATCAAACTCTTACTAATATTTAAATTAATATTTTTAGTTGACAAAGTAATTCGCCTGTGTCGCAGATGGTTTTGGCAGGGTCCGTTGCTACGAAGTCGTGTGCCGTGTGAAGGTTCAGTGAAGAAACCCTGCATGGAGATACTGCAACTTCGCAGGCAATTGAACAGAAGCTTCGCAGTTATGCAGGATAACTATAGTAATGAATATACTATTAGTGCACTGCGAGCAACTCTAAATTATTTCGAGAACTTTCTTGTATAATAATGGAAGATGTACATAAATTTTGCGTCAGTAAATGCAAATATACCCTAACTTCTAAACTGCATACGCCTTATGTTTTACCGTTTCATGTGACAGAAGTCTAATAGTCATTTGCGAATATAGTAGAAGGCATTTTCTAGAGAGCAAGTAAAAGTGAGTACTAGGCGGAATCTCCAGTACTTAGTATGAGAAGTAAGGTGAACGTTTTTTCTTGTAAGTACGCAATGAAAAGATAATGACGAGTTTTTGTAACTAGCATTGTATTTACTATGTAGGTAATGTTATTACAGGCATACGTTGCTATAACGTGTCTAGTCTGGCGTATCGCCGCATGAGTAACACCAATTGTGGCGTTTTCCAGTCAGTAAAATTTCGACTTTTCGTGCGTCAAACTTCGCGGAAGGTAGATGAAATTAAAGACTGCTTCCAGACGATCCGTACAACGCAACCTTAGGCAATGTCTACAAAGACAAAAATAAGATAATTAGAAGACACGTTAAAATGCATAGGTAAATAAGTCAAGTACTGTTTTGGAATAGGGGAGATCACTAGTATTATTACAAGGTCTTCAACTCATTTCATTTCTTTCGACTGCTACCATTTCTCGCGTCAGCGTTACTTACTTATAGTGCACTGTAACTTCTTCGTTGCACCCTATTTACACAGCGCAAGGAAATGAGTGCAATACTTAGGATACAGCAATAATAAGGGTATAAGCAGATTAACACTGCAGCGAGGTGCAGCAGTAATAATAATTTGCTTTGTTCGAAAACAGTATTAATGTTTCAGTGTTGAATCCGCAGCATCTCGTACATTATTGTATCTCATTTTATGAAGTAATAACATCTCCAAGGTATTTCATGTTAGACTTAGTTTATGTTTCAGTGCCCTCTGTGATACAAGCATCTTGTGAATGATACATGAGTATTTCAGTTATGCGTACTAAAGGTTTAAAATAATCACTCATCTAATTCACTTCTATTAGCACTAATTCTTATGTCCGTGTTACTGACTTTTGGTTTATGTTTTCTTCAGTGCACAGACGAAAGGGCACAGACACTGCGATCAAAAACCAATAGTCTTTTCGTATCTTCCAGTTTCAATGGTCACTTCTCACAACCTAGGTGGACAATGTCATTAGCATACACTAAGTTGACAAGACTTTTCCCTGGTAAGTCCCTGAAGTGAGTGACACAAAAATTTGTTAATACATGTATGATGAAAGTGAACTAAAATAAGGACGGCAGTTGTAGAAATGAGCCTTGTATTATATCATTCTTGGAAATATCAGTTCCCTCATAGTATAGTTTCACTATTAAGTGAATGGAATGCAATCTACAGATTGATGAAATTCACATACTGACGTACTACTTTTCTGGAATCATAGTTAATGTGTCCTCATTAAAGTGAGCAATGGGTATTGTAATTGTGTAAAATCAATAGGCTGTGAACCGCTGCCGATGAAAACTACAGAAATTCTTGGAATTATCAGTTATAATTTCAGCTGGATCACATGCGACACTCAGCAGTTGTTAAGTGGTCAATTCATGAACATGGAATCCATACAGAAAGCGCAGAAGATTTAGTACAACATGCACACTCCTTATTTCACTATTCAGCATGCACGCCAAATGCATTACTTTAGGGGACTACACAGTTCACAAATTAACTCACAACGCTGAAGTGGAGAAATTCATATTTTTCCTTACTGAGTTAAATATAGCGGTTCTTGTGAAGTAGCTTTCTTATGCAGAAGAGAAGAGGAAGGTATTCATAATCTTCTGCTACATGTGGAATCGCAGTGCAACTCCATGCGCAATAGTTTATATACAAATAAACTGAAAAACAAAGTCCTCCTGGTGACACACTGTGACATGATAGGAAGTGAGACGGTCAGATCACCAGCGTATTTGACGAAGTTGCTCTCATTAGAAAGAGAAAAGTCATGTAAGACAAGAGAGAGAAAAAAGAAAAGGAGAGATAACAGTACCCTGAGGAACACAACCTTCAGCAAGCAAGGCGGAAGATTTACCCTAATATACAGTATGCCGTATTCATTTGGGAAATGATAATGCAACCAATCACCTACACAGGACTCGTGTTTGCACGACCGAAACCTTACTCAACTAATATCATCTAGGTCCTTAGTCAATAACGGCATATGTTGAATAACTTAAAGCTTAGCACAAAAGCGATAAAGCACAAAAAACACTTGCAAAGTAGGAGACGAATCCCGGGTGGATGAAGAGGTTACTGAAAGGTATTTATTTGTCATTTAGCAAAGAACAAGATTAAGAACTGCAATTATCATTTGTTGACATTCTGGAGACCATTATTCAGTGTTTCGCATTTAGTTATGTATAGCCTGTGTCATCCTGCCTGACTTTAAGTATGACTTCGCAAAGAAGTCCAACTGTTCAGTTTACCACATTCCATGCACCACACAAAGGTAGAGACATAAAACTAAATGGAAGTTTAACGAGCGGAAATTTGAGGGAAAATAAATAGTGACAACATGAGTTGAATAGATACGTGAGATTACACAGAGTGAATGCGTCTGTGCCATTAACAAAGACTTGCAGACATATACCTAGTAGTTCTTCTAGCTGACTGTCAACGATTTTATGAACCAATAGCAGTTTTTCAGTCGACTGACCCAAACACATTTTGAACCTTAACATGTGCTGGCTAACATTATCCCTCGAGGAAGGCGATGGCTTGGTATGCAATCATGTGTTATAGCCATCTCAACCTATTCAGCTTCCCAACCTTGAAGACTAACTTACCCTCCTCACCTAACACTTTATGCGTAACCTCAAGAGCAACCGCCATATTATACTGCTTTACCATATTGTTGATGCCTGTCAACTGGAGTCCCTCATGTGCATAAAGTGGGAATATATTATTGTAAGACGCATTTTATTGTTTTATGAGGGAATTGACTTCAAGCTTTATTTATTTTCCCAAGTGTATGTAATCCATCCAACGCATACTTGGGTTTTTTTTGTTAATGCGAGGTCAATATCTCTATATTTGTTGGTGTGTTCCATTGAATCACCAGTTATCCGATTTTCCCCACAAACTAAAGATAAAATGACAGCAACCATGTTATTTAACCGTAAATCATGTAATTTGAATATGTAACTTAAATAATTCTTATCCATTCCTATAGAACTTGTTTTTCCTATATTTGTATGAACAAATATGTACCCTATTATATTATAATTACTAACTATATTTACTAATCGTATGTGTAATTTATCGAAGTGATGATGCCTGTAAACTGGTGTCCCTCATGTAAAAAATGAGAATATACTATTATTATTATTATTATGAGATAGAACACAGACACCTATAATCAAACACCGGTATTCTTTTCATATTTTCCAGTATCAGGGGTAACTTCTCATAGTCTAGGTGTACAGTATCATCAGTAAACTGTAAGTTAATGAGGATGATAAGTCTCTAAAGCCATTTATAGACTATCCTACTGATATATGTGATTGAAATGATATCAGGATGACAGTTTAAGAATTCAGCCTTGTGTTACATCCCAATTGGAAATGTGTTTTCTCGGATAATTCTCAAACAGTAACCACTGAATAGAAAAAATTCTGTAGAATTTATGAAACTCATTAACTGACGCAGTACTTTTGCAGGCATTATAGTGTTTCCTCAATAAAGCGAGATTTGTATATTTTGGCTGCATAAAACGAGTAAGTGGTACCCTGGCAATACCAATGACTACAACAAGTCTTGGAATCATGCACCACAACTTTTACTTTACTGAATACTCCAGCAGATTTGAAATATACACTTGACAAATATCAAATTTATACAGAAAGTCAGTAAGATTTACTAAACTAAAAGCACTTTCGGTTTACATAGGAGATCTTCATGCCGAATCTATTCCTCCGAGGGCCTACACAGATTACAACTTCAATTAAATAACATTGACGTTGAAGAAATTCAATTCTTCATTACTAAACTTAATGATAATAATGTTTTTATTCTAGAAACAGGAGCATTCCTAATGTTTCACTTTATGTAAATGCAGTTACATACAGTTGCACTAAGAACCCAGTGCAACTCGGTGCACAATAGTACATACACAAATAAACTGAAAAATAACGTCCTCCTTACCTTCTGAACAACTTTTCCTTATTACAGGATAATAACTTTCTTTCACGTATGAGCCTGAGATATGTCTATGAAATCACAATATTATATCAGTTAAATCTCGCCCCGAAACCAAGGCCACTTGAAACCAATAGCAACATAGAGACAAACGTCATTGAGGGGATATGCAATAAAGTCGCTCCTACTGTCGAGTACTGGTTCTCACACCGAGTCATAAACTCTTGTAACCGACTCCCAGAATAAGTGGTGTCTGCAACCTCAACTGATTCATTCAAGAAGTTTGGACAACCACATAAATTTACTAGAAAAGAATCAACACAGGCCCCGAACCTTCTATCCTCGACCAACAAATCTCAAATCTTAAATCGTCTACGTCTGGAAGTTCGTTCGCCACAGCAAAATGTGAAACAGGAGAATTCTCTGCTGAAGCACGTTATGTCTACACTTTTCGAACCCTTAAAGGCGAGATTCGGCCCTCAGGGTACTGCAAACTAAGAGAATTAATGCAGGTTAAACCCTACTATCCTCAATAATCTGCAAGCTGGTCAGTGGACGCGCTGTTTACAAAGCCTGCGTTACTGCTTTTGTTTCCCCCTTAGGTATGTAAATTGTGCATGGTACTATCGTCTACGATCAGTTAGTACAAATTCTTTAACCTTCATATGTCTGTATAAATATATAGCGTTTTATTCACACTCTTGAATACGTTATGATTAAGAGGAGGAAGATGTATGGATATAAAATATCGCTACCCCAAGCTTACAATAATGCTGAATTAAATCTCAGTAATTCTGAAATAATTCTTGCATCCTATAGTGAGTAAATTCTGAATCTGTTCTGAAATGGTTTGTTTAATGGCACAGACTAGAACTTAGTGCTGGTTTTCAGCATGAATAGAACGAATTCAGCACCGTGTTCTTTTTCTAGGCATTTTCAGGAGTAGATCAGAACATACTGGGTTTCCTTATCAGCGTTGTTCCAGCCATTACAGGACATATTAAGCACTGACTAGCATTACTTCAGAACGAAGAGACCTAATTCAGCACATAGTGGCAATTTTTTCAGCCTAATTCTAGCCTTCTCAGCACATATTCAGAACTGACTAGCATTACTTCAAAACAAAAAGACCTAATTCAGCACATAGTGGCAATTTTTTCAGCTTAATTCTAGCCTTCTCAGCACATATTCAGCACATATTTAGGCATGCGGTGCTTATTTTCAGCATTGAAGGCATTATTTCAGATGCTGATCTTTTTTTAAGATTTTGTCGCATTAATTCAGCACCCAGCTCTCTTTCTAAGCACGACCAGCGTTATTTAAGAACATAGTGGGTAGAAAAAATTTTCATTTACCATAAAAAGGCATTATCGACGCATAGGTTAGAATAAGTTTAGAATTGTTGTAAGCTTGGGACTAAACCTAGTTTTATTGATTCGTTTGGTTTTAGAAGAACTTTCTTTTTAAGACGACAGCACTTTATGTGATCCTTATTTTTAACACTAACACAGGGGCATAAGTCACTGCCATCTTGTTGATTTTGCATCAGGCCCTGAGTCGATTAACCTAGAAAAACATGAGGTCTGCTAGTTGCGTGTGCCTTTTTGACAGAAAGAAGTAGGCATTATTGTATCTTTAGACTCCTCAAATCATTGCTAAATGCTGGTATTGGTCACCTAGACTAGTCGACTAGTCTAGACTATGAAGTGACTTAAAAATCATTTAACTCTTGAGAATAATTTCCCAAGGAATTTCTTTTCTGGTTTCGTAGACTTGTCTCGTCTTCACAGATTTCTGGTTTATGGACAGGGTATAATGTGGTCGGATGCGTTCACTGCAGGGCTAAAATAATGTCAGCTTTCTGTTGTAGCATAGAATTGTTCCTATGGTGTGTATTTTTTACTTTTCGTCGTTTTCAGTGCACACAGAGTGAAGAGGAAGTTAAGAGCCATTAAGTAGAGGAGTTGCATTTGTAGAAGGAAGGCAAGATAATAGAGATGAAGATGAAGACAAAGGTGAGTGAGGATTAGAGAGGTTTCGCGTGCACTTCGGATTGTGAGGGCGATCGTTACTTCCCGGCTGCCCACACCGTGGAAGTTGGTTGCGTGACCGCAGAGCCCAGGGGACAACTGCTTGAGGCCGGTCACAAACGGCCTGTTTTTGTTTGTTGTTTTTCATTTGGTGTGTCTCAGTAGCGTATTTATCACTTCTGCCATGTGACACGGCAGCAGAAAGCACGGTCGTTGTTAATCCGGGCCCCGACCGATCCGGCATGATATTTTGTGATTTATTTGAAGTCATAGGATTGGATTGGGTAACTGCTTTTAGTCTGACCGCTATCCAAACAACCTTTCTGGCATGGTAGGACCTGCAGGAACATAAGTTCCAGCCAGTGTAGCTCGTTGGATCATTATGATATGCAAGCCCGACCACCACGTCAAGGTAGCAGCTTTCGGTCGGTCACGTAGCTGTGTAAGGGCTTATGGGGAATTGTCATCTGAATTGATAACAGCCAGTGGTGTCCGTCAAGGATGTCCACTTTCCCCTTTTCTGTTTAACTTCATCATAAATATGCTAATGGAAGTATCCTTAACTGAACTTAACGACTTAGGAATCGACTTGTTACCAGGGAATATTATTATAGACTTAGAATACGCAGACGACATAGTCCTGTTAAGGGAGGATGCTGAAAAAATGCAGAGTCTTCTGAACACCTTGAGCAGCAATCTTCGTATGTTTGGCATGCGATTCGCCCCTGTGAAATGTAAGATGCTGCTACAGGACTGGACTACGTCAACTCCTAGCTTAGTGATAGGGAATGAAGTGATAGAACATGTTGACCACTTCACCCATTTGGGAAGTTGTATCAGCACCAACGGATTGATTGTTGACGAAATCACAGCACGAATCCAGAAAGCTCGGGCTGCTTTCGCTAACTTACACCGTCTCTGGCGTAGGCGTGACATCCGGCTGTCACCCTAGGGACGTGTATACTGCTCAGCAGTTCGCTCCGTCCTTCTATATGGCGGTGAGACGTGGCCATTGAGAGCGGAAGACATGAAGAGATTGTCTGTTTTTGACCACAGGTGTTTACGATCTCTTTCTTGCGTTAGGTGGTATAATAAGTAATGTTGACGTTAGGCGTAGAGTGTTGGGCACAGAGGGAAAATCACTCGAAGAGGCTATGGAGTTACATAGATTGAGATGGTTAGGTCACGTGCTGCGTATGCTTAACCATCGTTTCCCCCGACGGGCATTACTAGCTGATATAGGTGCAGGTTAGAAAAGAGTAAGTGGTGGCCAAACAAAAACATGACATCAATCCATGAAATCCCTGACAGTTAAACTGAGTCAGGTAGGGAGATGCAGATTTCCGGGTTGGGTCCCTCGGGACTCTAAGAATCAATGGCTGGAGACAACAGGTGATATGGCTCAAAATCGTTGTCAGTGGCGCAGATGTATTCAGTCTCTTTAACCTTCATATTCCTTTCTACCATTACTCATTCTGTTTCACTCTTATACTTGTCAAAACTCTATTGATTCTCTTCACTCATCTTCTTGTCTACCTTTGTGTGGTATTTGGAACGTGGTAACTCGAACTGCTGCACTTCGGTGCCAAGTTCTATGTTGAATCCAGCAGCAGCAGCAGTATTTTTTTCTCTACTTGTTGAGTTTACTCGTGATAAAGCTATTTCCGGGTTTATGTTTGTATGAGAGCATACTTGTCTTTTATGCTAATGTCATTCTTTTCACTTTGTATCCTTAAAATGGGATTTGTAATTAGTATGATAGCCGCTTTGGCTTGTATTACTATACAGCCGATATGTTTTCACATGACAAAGGCAAGAAAGCAGTCATAGTGGTTGCTAATATGAAAATCTAATCATCCTTACACAAATTGACAGCCCTGTAAATTAAAACAGTACACTTTGGATAGTAATAGTATGAGGAGCTTTCTTTTGAACTTAGTCCCATTAACAGGTCCTTAATATTCGAGGCTATGAGCCCTTCTTATTGTATGAATTACCAAGGTTGAAACTGATGGAATGGGATTGGAACCCCGGACAAACCAACTTAAAGTCTAGCATTGAAGCCAGGGAGTCATATGTCAACTTGAAGGATGCCTATTATCTTTGTAATATGACAATATTATATTATGTGTATTTTCCTCCTAATGACAGTAACAGTTCTAATAAGACTAATATGGACTTCATTAAATTGTTGCGAAAGTTTATTCCATATTAGTTTGTTTATTAGATGTATCACACGGTCCATGAGACAGTATTATTTACTGGATGACAATGTTTCGAACACAATTTATTCATTGTTCATAATCATTTCATCAATTATAATCACACGACTTCGAAACTTGAGTTTTATAGTTTTCTTTGTTCTCTCCTATTTGTCGTCGTTGGGGTAGTAGAATTTTCTAGATATCTGGGTGTTGAATCATTCCTATTACACGTATTCACTCTCAGTTGATTCGATAAACAAAGCTTCTGTTATCAATCTCTTCCTCCCACCTATTAAATTTGATTAGATTTTAAAACTGTCATCTTATCCCATCCTATGCTGTATGGTTGTGTATAATTGCATTTAGTGAGTGGTATAGCTAAAGTATTCTCGAGATTTCTTATCTTATTCGGGTTTGAGCTCCAGCCACTTTTATTCCTCCATTGTTAAGAATTCTCCTCTGTGAGGTTTCCGAGATTCTTTCCTTGTATGGAATTACTACTATGATGATTTAGATTCCTTATTGTTGGTGTTGTGAAAGTTTAGTGTATCTCTTTTGACTGTCCGTTTCAACTAGTTCCATTTGTGTCCTTAAAATTACATAAAATCATTAGAAAAGTTACTTAAATAGTAGCTCAAGCTAGATAAATTCATCCCATTCTAAACGAGCATAGCATCTAACAAACGACTGATTATCTTTTTCAATGTTTCGTTACAATCTTGGTCGCCTTTTTGTTCGGTAAACTTCATTTAGCACTCCGTTGTAATCTACTAACACTCCTTGAACCTTTTATTGTAAGTTGTCCATAAACTATAATTACGAAATTCCCGACCAATATTATTCGTGTGTTTATAGTATAACTCTTCGATTTCATAATGCTTTTATTACTACTTTCAAGATAACACAATTATCAGAATATCTATCAAACAGGAATTCGTAATCAACTTTTCCGACAAGCTATAAAAGTACAACAGTAAGACCAAACTTCGTTGTACACAATTTTTATGCAGTCATTGAGATAGTGTTATTCTAAAATTTTTAACAGTCTTCAGGGTATAGGATTCACTGCATTTAGAATTACTAAAACTAAGAGCACTATGCTTAAAAGACATATTATTATCCTCGAAAATATTCGTAGAAATTAGTTATCAAGTTAGTGGAATATAAACACTTTGAATTACGTCCTAACCTATGTAAGCTAGGCTATCGCAGGAAAAGAGGTGATCTCATCACAGTGAACGAGAAACGCCTACCAAGAAAGTTGAGATAAAGAAGTATCTCTAAACTTGTGAACAGTCCGTCATTGCTCGAGAACTTGTTCTCTTAAAATTTAATTCCAGAAGATGCTAGAAAGTCAGTTAGTTTCAGATCACATCTTTTTTTGTGATTTCCTTAATCGCTAGCTTGAAGATATTATTCAATTCAGTGACTCTTTAACCAGTTCAGGTGTAAAATTGACACGTAAATTTAGTAGCTTTTCACTAGCTCTATGGGCTTTAATTTACATATCTATAATAGACTTAGGACGATTGAAATTGCATCTTCACTTAAGCACACGGTGTAAGACGCCTTTCTGAAATTTTCACGTAATTCATCTATTTATTTTGTTCCTTCACGTTCCCAGTGGAACATAGGGGGGGGGCTTCAAGCTAGAGGCTTAAAGTTTCTGTAGCAGTCGTGTTTATTTTTACAGGATGGGGCTGCTAGCCTCATGCCCGCCAACCTTTCCTCTTTACCAGCTTTATTTCTGGCTTAGCCAGGTAAAGGAGTGTGGCGTCAGTGACCGGGGATCGAACCCCGGACCATGTGCTTGATCGGCGAGCGTCCTAACCTCTGTGCCACCGAAGCACGTAATTCACTAACTGTGTATATTGCTCATCTACACTAGTTGTTAATATTGATTCTGAGTGCCAGATTTCTTCCGTATACCGATACTGCCTAAAACTTCACTTCGTAAAACTTAAAAATTTTAAAGCTTCACCTTCACGAGTAGACATTTCTATCTATTTCATCCAATTAAGTTGTAGAGTGGAGTTAGGGAACAAGAGTTTTAAATGCGAATTCGACACTTCGATTTTCTAATTAACAATTATCTGCCTTTACCTCTTACAAGATGTCTACCATATTTGAGCAGTATCACCTTCCCCTACTTATTTTTTAATTACTACCCAAATTTCAGGCCTCTTCAACTGAAGGATGCCATTCTTGAAAGGTGGAAGAGCAGCAGTAACTAGAACGAAAAAGTACTTGGAAGCTGGACGAATAATTTTAAATGATGGTGTCAAAATTATGGTTATCAATCATATTCCCGGGGCTGAAATATCGCATGGATGCGATGAATTCATTAAATGGCATCTACCACCATTACAATTTCGAAATCCAAACGTTCAGGTAAGTAAGTAGTATATGTCCAAACCAAGTTCACTTTTAACAGTTTGAAAAAATTTGAGCATTGGATATATGATATTCATTATAATAAAGGTTTTATGTATTTCCCAATAAATGAAAAACAAAACGATATTGTCGGTTTTACTGACGTTTCGCTATTCATTGATGCTAACAGCTTTATCAAAGTATTATTAAACCAGAATTTACAAAATCGTTCATCATCGTTCCTCAGTATGGGGTCATTTTTCGTTGTCAAATTGGCCAATTGGTAAAGATAACAAAACCAGGTAGGTGTAGATTGTTGGATTTGATAAGTGTGTAAAATTATAAAAGCAGTGTGTGTTTACATAATGAAATTGCTTATCACATTCGTGTTGATTTTGTCACTTCATGGGAGGTGTGTACCAGTCAAATTTTGTTTTAGTCCATCATTCCTATTCACTCAGACAATTTGGATTCCACTTGATATGAAATGCTTCTGATGATATTAGACGTTCTTTGTGATTTCTGAAATGCTTTTTCTGGATGATGATTTCAATATTGTCAAAATCAATTTTGTGACCTGATTCTATAGTGTGTAGACAAGCTATGGCTGATGATTTTTCAAGCTTTTCTAGTTCAACTGGATTTCTAGTTGGTCGAACAGAGGCGGCTCTACGGTGTTCATTTCTTCTGATTTTGATTTCTATCTGGCGATGTTTGTCCGATGTATATCGCATCACATTCCAAGCATTTTATTTTGTAGACACAGACTGAGAATCATTAATGATTTGGTCTTTTATATGGACAAGGTTGTTTCGCAGTGTGTTTGATGTTTTGAAGAAAACTCTGATGTCGAGCTGATTGAGTACTCCTCTTCCGATATCGTCTGACGTCTCTGATCTATGTGGAATGACAACTGTTGAGGTCCATGTTTTCGGAATACGCGTTTTCCACCATACTTAATGTCAGTGTTGATTTTGTTGATGAAGTTCTTCGGGTAGTTGTTTTGCTTGAGAGTTTCAGTAATGTTTGATATTTCTTCTTCTTTTTCTTTCTCATCCGTTAACATCAAAGAGTGTGGTCGTCTAAGAAGACTTGAAACAACTGGTACTTTTGTGCTCTGATGGGGTGTGATGATTCGAAGTCTAAATATTTGTTGGAGTGGGTTTTCTTCCTGAACATAGATATACTAAAATGTCCGTTTTCCTTCCTCTTAACTAGCAAGGCAGTCTAGAAATGGTAGTTCATCGACGTCTGATTCTGCCTGCCTCCGAAGTAACCTGGATTCTGGGAGATAGAATTTTTAGTTTCTCCAGGAATGAACTGTGAAGATCTCGTTTTAGCAATTTCATTATGTAAACACACGCTGCTTTTGTAAAATTTTACACACTTATCAAATCCAACAATCTACACCTACCTGGCTTTGTTATCTTTACCAATTGGCCAATTTGACAACGCAAAAATGACCCCATGTTGAGGAACGATGATTAAGTTGTTATATATAAGCTGAGTGGATTTTGTAAATTCTGGTTTAATAATACCACTTTGATAAAGCTATTAGCAGCAGCATTAAATAGCGAAACGTCAGTAAAAACAACAACAATATCGTTTTGTTTTTCATTCATTGGGAAATACAAGAAAACCTTTATTATAATGTTCAGGTAAGTAGATCGAAGTTGGTGCATGTGTTGACAAGCTATGGCTGATTGTTTTTCAAGCTGTTCTATTTCAAGTGAATTTCTCGGTGGTCGAACAGAAATGGCTCTATGATGTTCATTTCTTCTGATTTCGATTTCTCGAAGACGTCAGACGATATCAGAAGAATACTCAATAAGCTCGACATCAGAGTTTTCTTCAAAACATCAGATACACTGTGAAACAACCTTGTCCATATAAAAGACCAGATCCCTAAAGATTCTCCGTCTAATTGTGTCTATACATAATCTGAATTAGATATACATCGGACAAACATCTCCAGAGAGAAATCAAAATCAGAAGAAATGAACACCGTAGACTGAGTGTCTGTTCGACCCCCGAGAAATTCACTTGAAATAGAAAAGCTTGAAAAATCATCAGCCATAGCTTGTCTACACGCTACACTGTAGAATCAGGTCACAAAATTGATTTTGACAATATTGAAATCATCATCCAGGAGAAGCATTTCAGAAATCACAAAGAACGTCTAATATCATCAGAAGCACTTCATATCAAGTGGAATCCAAATTGTTTGATGAGCGGAATGATGGACTAAAACAGAATTTGACCTGTTTACAACACTTCCCTCCCCCATGAAGTGACAAAATCAACACGAATGTGTTAAGCAATTTCATTATGTAAACACACGCTGCTTTTGTAATTTTACACACTTATCAAATCCAAGAATCTACACCTACCTGGTTTTGTTATCTTTACCAATTGGGCAGTTTGACATCGTAAACAGAATTACCCGATGCTGAGGAACGAAGCTGAGTGGATTTTGTAAATTCTGGTTTAATAATACTACTTTGATGAAGCTATTAGCAGCATCACTAAATAGCGAAACGTCAGTGAAAACGACAGCAATATCGTTTTGTTTTTCATTCATTGGGAAATACAAAAAAACCTTTATTATAATGTTCAGGTAAATAGATCAAAGTTGGTGCATGTGTTAAATTCACTAATTTCTTTTTTATTTTATTATTTTTTCAAACAGATAATTACATTCAAAAATATGTTTCCAACACCATTTATAAAGATCTATCTTGAAAAAGACGAAGAACAGGTGGTCAATTGTGCTTTTCGTAAAAATGCCGATATCTATGATCATTTGCACACACTGCTTGGAAAGACAACTTCACAATCGGATGAGTCATTAGCAGTAAATGATCAGACTACAAGAAATCCGTCGAATTTTGGAACAGAGTAAGTTTTTGGTATTTATAAGGTGGTGATGTGATTAATTGTCATTTCTTTTTTTCAACCGTATGTATAGTTTCCCACGTCAGTGTATATGTGAAGTATATGGACAAATGCCGTGTTCTTCTCATATAGGCAAACCAAAATTATGGTCACATTTACAATATACCCTACCATCAGTCGATTTGGAGACGATTATACCTCGGAAATAATTAGTCAGACTATTTGAATATTATTACTTGTATGTGTATATAGGTATTTTTAAGAAGCATGTTATTATTCTTGCTCCTTTTTTTAATAATAATATACTTTATTCCTAAACAGACAGTACTTATAATACAGAATGGAATTCTCAGCATTTGTCACAATATTGCATCTGATTTACTCAGAATTTAAATAAAATTAAAAATATAAATAAAATTAACCAGAGGAATTTGTCCACATTTACGATATAAAGTCAAAAATATTCGAAGCACAAATTGAGAATATTAAAAATAATAATAATAACAGTGAGTTTGTTTCAAACAGTATTGTCGATTCAGTTTGGAAATTTTAGCATGTTATAGATTATTGAATCTAATGTTCTGTTGATATAGTATAGTGAGGGGAAATACAAAATTAACAGTTATAAAACAGCTTAAATGATGTTCACACTTATGAAAAAATAAACAAATAGAAACAAACAATTGAGAGGATTATAAATATAAGAAATACAATAACAATAAAGTTTGATGCTTTAAGGGTGAAGGAAATGGTTTATTTACTAGTGCAAAGAAGGTTAGTTAGTTCATGTCTGACACTATTTTCATCACATAAAGTACGTGCTAAATATGGTATAGTGGAATTTTTATACTTAGACGTACGTGCATAAAGTCTTCTGAAAAGACTTATTGTTTTACCTGAGGAGACACAAGATTGGAGCTGCGGGTAAAATGGATGCTCACATTCTGACAAAATTCCTTTAGCAAATTTATTGCATGAAATCAAGTGCCTATCATCAATGACAATGTCAACGATGTGGCCTAATGGGATACCACCACTTGCCCTACTGACAGTCAGTCTTCAGAGTTCTACGAAGTATGACATAGTCTTTTTAAAGCAATCCAGGAAAGAATAAGGGTGAACAGTAAAGAAGAATAGGTAAGATGCACGAGTTGACAAACTATAAGAGGAGGGGTTGAGTTATGCCTGAGTGCCTTAACTTCTTAGTGTGAAAAGTCAGACGAAATATTCTTTTAGAAATCGCTAAGACATGGGAAGACCAGGATAGGTCAGTAGAAAGGATTAATCCAAGATACTTAACTTCAGACTTGATTTCTATATCACTGTCATCAATTTTGCAAGGGTCGTAGGAACCAACGGCTTCATTCAACTTTAGTTTACATCGGAAGCTGAAATTAACAGTCTGACATTTGGAAGGATTCAGTTTAAGACCATTAGACGAAGACGATCTGCTAACTCCTGATAGAAAGCTGTTCATCTTAGTACAGTCTAGCTGGGAGTTAACAGACATTGAAATTGTTAGATAATCGGCATACTTAACAAAGTTCATTTCGTCATCAGAGTGAGGCAAGTCATGCAAGAGGAAAGAAAACAGAAAAGGAGAAAGGACAGCACCGTGAGGGACACCAGCCTCAGTAAGCAACGAAGTGGACGACTTTCCCTGAAATACAGTGTACTGCTTTCTTCCTGAGAAATAAGAATGCAGCCATTTGACAACCCAATGTAGAGAGGTTACTTTTTTCTAGGAAATTCCTTCCCTACGTTACTCTTCTATCATAGTCTCTCACATACTACTTATGTATTGATTTGAAAGGTTGAATTATCAAATAAAGTTTTACCATGTCGACCAAATTACTCGAACCACTGGAGTGCGTTGTTTATCAGTCGTTTAATAACTGAACTATAGTAATTCTCTGTATTCGATTCCCCTCAATGAAGCAGAGTTACTCCCCTTTTAGGTGATATCATTCTCAAGCTGTACACTCGTATATATAGTAGTAGATTCTCTTAACAACAAAAGGAGTATTACCATAGTTGTGTGATTTTTTGTATTCCTTCACGTTCCTAGTGGAACATAGGGGGGGGGCTTCAAACTAGAGGCTTGAAGTTTCTGTAGCAGTGGTGATTATTTCTACAGGATGGGGTTGCCAGTTCTATTACTGGCTTAGCGAGGTAAAGGAGTGTGGTGGCGTCGGTGGCCGGGGATCGAACCTTGGATCGTGTGCATAGCTGGCGAGCGTCCTAACCGCTGCGCCACCGATGCACTTAGATGCATCGTTAGAATTGGCAATATTTAGATAAAAAATCACGTAATTGGGTAAAAAAAAAATAAAATTTGAACCAGAGTCAAGTTAGCAACAGAGGGTAATAAGAGTTAGAAATTTAATTAGGGGGGATGAGGACAGAAATATTGGGAAATTGCCTATCCAGCTTGTTGGGGGAAACCTTTGCGACTGACCTTCTCCGTTGATCCAACAGAAAAAAGTGGAAAAACAACACTAATTGAGTCACTAAAAAGAGACTTAAACAACAACGTAGCATCATAGAAGGTTTATATGAATCTCTAAAGCCTACTGGCACGGTTACACCAAGATTATATGGACTACTAAAAGTGCATTAAAATTGGTTTGCCACTTCGACCAGTGTTGGACATGTGTAATTCCCCATATCACGCAACAGCAAAATGGTTAGTGAAGCTCTTGAAACCTCTGCATAATGAACTTGTAAAACATAGCGTAAACGATAGTTTTGAATTTGTTGAAAAAATAAGAGATCTTAATGTGAGGCACAAGTTTATGATATCTTTTGATGTATCCTCCTTGTTCACCAATGTACGGTTAATGGAGACAGTGGATTTTATATGTGAGGAGATTACTACGCCGAAACATGGAAATCGGCATTTCTGTATCTTCCTTGAAGGAACATATTTTAAGATATACAATGAATGTTCATTTCTTATTCAATAAGGAATATTACAGGCAAATTGATGGTGTAGCTATGGGTTCCCCATTAGGTCCAATCCTAGCTGATTGTTTCCTCGCTAAGTTAGAGAATGGACCACTGAAAGGAGTAATTAACGACTTGGATTTCTACTGTCGATATATGGATGAAACATTTCTGGTTATGAAAAACAAGAATGATGCAATGAACATCCTTGACAAGTTTAATGATGCACATTCAGCAATAAACCTTACCATAGAGAAAGAAAGTAATGACAGTATCTCATTCCTAGACGTCTTCCTGACAAGAAAAGGAGGATGGCACACTAAGAAGGAGTGTGTATAGGAAACCTACAACAACAGGTCAGTACACTCATTTTTTGAGTTTCGTACCTTTGAAATATAAACGTAACCTGGTAAAGTGTCTGGTTCATAGAGCTAGGTTAATCTGTTCAGACGACTGCCTCAATGAGGAGCTTAAGATTATTAGAGAATTACTTAGAAAAAATGGTTATCCAGATAAGTTCATCGAGAAAAATATGAATTCAGCACCTAAGAGAGTCAGTACGGTTATCCCAGTCGAATTGATGTTTGTGGTTGTCTGTGTGCAGCGATATCAGGGAGGGAGTGGATGCCATGTCTTTTGATGGGTGGTTTACGTTTAAATATTAGACGGATGAAACACAAAGAATGCTAGCCAGAGAATTTTTATAAGCCCGCCAGGTATTCCAGTGAATCGTCAATTAGTAGACACATCGAGATAGACAAAGTTTACCAATCGAGTAGGAGGAAATCTCATACACAAAGGATCAAAGTTCAGATTAACACCAATACCAATACAAGTAGCAGCCTAGAGGGTGTGGAAACACACAAAGACAACCAAAGTCAAGTTCAAGGTGGTCACCAGGAGAGATGACTAAGAAACTCGTGGAGAAATCTAAAAAGACCTCACTTCCTTCAGATTGAAGTGTATGCGCTGAAGATTTTACTTAGTAGGGCAGTAATGAAAGCTTCGCAAATAAACAATCCAGCTAGGTCAGAGAACACAACTGCATCAAAAAAGTCTTTTCTTTCATATTGACAGTTTGCCTGTGATTTGTTCATATTTTAATTTTATTCCTTTGCGTACCCAATGGAACACATAGGGCTTCCACCTTGAGTTTTGAAGTTTCAGTAGCAGTGGTATTTACGGGGTGGGTTGGAGGAGGGCTAGTTTTACACCCAAACTTACCTCTTTAATGGACTTAATATCGGCTAAGTGAGGTTTAGGCCAATATGTATATATATATATATATATATATATATATAATGGCATGATAAGGTGAGCAATATTGAGGTTAGTCGTCGAGTGCTAGGTTAGGAGGGGAAATGAATAGACGAGACTGTGAAGTTACATCGATTGAGATGGTTGGGACATGTGTTACATACACATGCCTAGCTATCGCCTCCCTTGATGGCCAATGTTAGCTAACTGACAGGTTGGATCAGGTGGGAAAAGAGGCAGTGGTGGTCAAACCAAAACATGGCTTCATCAGTCTGTGAAATCCACAACAGTAAGTATAAGCTACCTAGGAAGGTGTAGACTTCCAACTGGTTGGGGTCCTCGGGATGGTAAAAACCAATGGTTGGAAACAATTGGTGACATGGCTCAAAATCGTTCTCAATGGCTGGCGCAGATGCATCCACTCCTTGTGACTTATAATTTCCAATGAAACTGTTTTCTTCTTCGTTATTACTATTCCTTTGTCTCACGCCTCTGTTTACTGTCTCTAATATGCATTTCTCCTACTTTCTTCTCTTGTTTTGTGTGGTACATGGAGTGTGGCGACTTGAACTGCCGCACATATGTGCAAAGTTCTATGTTGACACCAGTCATATATATATATATATATATATGTAAGCATTATACCAAAGAATGACGCTTGTCAATGAAATTGTTATGGAACAAATTACCAAAGTAGTTGTACTTTGTAGTAGTGGAAAAGCACTTCCTTGAATGTAACCAAGTAAAAGTACTACAAAAAGGAATTCCAAATAATTCTAATGATGATTACTTTGAAATTAACCGTAATGAAGTCGTCGGTACAATATCATGGATCATTGTAAATTTGCTAGTGTAAACTGATCAGGACGTTTCGAGACAAGAACTAAAAGCAACAAATAAGACCGTTCTTACCTAGTTACAAAAGATGTCTAATAGTATGGCGAATATGTTGTGCGTGGACGTTTCTATAGCATAGTTTTATACACTATCGAAGCGAGTTTGTCTGTCCTCACAAAGATTATCGAACCTGGAAATTACACATCTGCAAAAATCCTACAGTAATTTCGACATATGCAATGTTTAATAACTGGAGATTGGACTTGCTGAGTTTCAATACAGAATTTTACGCAGAAGTTCATCATCTCAATTTGTGCTACCCTATATATGTAGTACATGAAGGTAGAGAAATCAAAAGAACTACACTGTGCGTAAATGTACAGGAGAAAAATATGAGGATCTGGAAGATCCCAACGAGTGGGCGCATCTGCGCCACTGAAGGTGATTTTAAGCCTATATTACTAACAAACAGTCTGTAATCATTGGCTGTTCGCGTCTCGAGAATTTCAACCATGCAAGCAATCTACAACCCGATGGGTGGCCGGCTAAAACCAACTGAATAAAACTTCATGGGTTGATTTGAGGATCTAGTTTTTCCACCCTTTCCTCTGTCTGTATGTTTTCAACATAGAACTTTGCACCGATGTTCTGCAGTTTAAGTCGCCCCACTCCAAACAGCACACAAAGCAAGAGAAGAAAGTAAAAAAGAAATGCAAAATAGAGACAGTAGACAGGGATATGAGACAAAAGGAATAGTAATAACGAAGAACCATATAGCTCCACTGGAAATTATGATTCACAAGAAGTGGATGCATCTGCGTCAGCCATTGAGAACGATTTTGAGCCATATTACCGACTGTTTCTAGCCATTGGTGTTTACCGTCCCGAAGAACCCAACCAGGAAGTCCACACCTTCCTACGTGACTGGCTTAAACTGACTGTTGTGGATTTCACAGAATGATGAAGCCATGTTTTGGTTTGACCACCACTGCCTCTTTTCCCACCTGAACCAACCTATGTCAGTCAGCTAACATTGGCCATCAAGGGAGGCGATGGCTAGGCATGTGTATGTAACACATGTCCCAACCATCTCAATCGATGTAACTTCATAGCATCGTCTATTGATTTCCTCTCTTTATCTAGCACTCGACGCCTAACCTCAATATTGCTCACCCTATTATACCATTTCACACACACAGGAGACAGAACGCAGACACCTACGATCAAAGACAGATGGCTAGTCCTTTCATGTCTTTCACTCTCAATGGCCGGATATCACAGCGATAAAGGAGGATAGAACGAACTGCCGAGCAGTACACACGCCCCTCAGTCGATAGCCGGATATCACTTCTACGCCACAGCTGGCGTAAACTGACATATATGCGAAACTAGCTTTCTGTAACCGTACTGAGATTTGGTTAGCGATCAAATTCCTAAATGACAAGTGAAGTGGTCAACACGCTCTACCACTTCACTCTATATTTTTTAAGCTAGGAGCGAGTCAATGTAGTCCATTCCTGTAGTATCATCTTGCATTTGACAGGAGCGAATCGCATGCCTGACATTCGCAGATTGCAACTCAAGGTGTTCAGAAGACTGTATTTTCTCATCGTCTTCACCTAGAAGACTATATCATCTGCATATTCTATGTCAACGAGATTATTCCCTGATGGTAACAAGACGATTCTTGAGTCACTGAAGTCTGTTAGGGTTAGGTCCATTAGTACATCTATGGTGAAATCGGGATAATGGGCATCCCTGAAGGACACCACAAGTTGTCACCAGTTCAGATGACAACTCGCCGTAAGCTCTCATCTGGCTAACTGCATGAGTTCGAGTAGAGTGCCTTGGTCAGTGCAATGTATTTTCTCGGCATTCCCTTTACAGCCAAGCATCGCCATAGTACCTCTCGGTCGACAGAATCGAATGCCGCCTTTAGGTCAAGAAATATAACGATTGTTAGACGCCGCTAAGTATGCCTATGTTCCAGGATCTTTCGAAGGGTCATCCTCTTCCTGGTCTACAGCCTGTCTGATTTTCTCGTGTTTGTTCTTCCCGCGCACTTCTTCGTCTACGCGTAGTTATTGAGCTTAGAACTCTGGATACCATATTGGTCAAGCTAATACTCATTCCCCACCTAATCTTAAGTTAGATAACATTACTCGACTGGAAAGGCGGTGACTCAGTATGTGCAACACGTATCTCTAGCCATCTCCACCGCGTTGTAACTTTGCCATCTCATTGATTGAATTCCCCTTAACTTCAATGTTGTTTAGCATAGCAGGTAAAACAGAGGTCCATGGTGAAAGACAGCTACCCTCCTCATATTTTCCCCTTTCAGTAACCAGTCTCACAGGCATAAAGAACAAGCGGAAGCAGAATATTGCACTGTCGTATATCCTGGTTGTTTTGACAATACACAAGGTAAACCACAAGTCAATTTAGTATGTTTAGAAAAAGATGTATTTGTACGGTAGCTAATCAGTCAAGAGTAATGCAATACTATTTACACACTAATATTTATATAAATAGAATTTATGTGTATATATGTATATATAAATCAACTAACAATTCCAACTTCATCCTGCTTCAACTTTTGCAGTTGTTCTTTCAACCGAGTAATAAGCGCTGGTAGTCCACTTGCCAGCTGATTGTCTACACATGCTTGAGAGCATGTCAATACTTCACGTTGAGCAGCTTTCATTTGCGATTCACTGGCATCTGTGCTTAGTTTGTCACGGGCTCGATTAGCACATTCAGAAGCACACTGTTGTGTTCTTGTCTAGTAGTAGTAGTAGTAGGATAAGCAAAAAGAGGAATAGAGATGGAGTATAGATGATGAGTGAGTTATCAGTAAAGCGGCACACATACATACATTCAAGGGGGAAAAACGAAGCGTTTCATCACATGGTCTAAGTGTAAACTTCTACTGGAAACAGATTTGCCATAGGCAAAACGTAAAAGTAGATACTCAATAGAAGCCATAAATAGACTTAGGCTATTTAGGCGGTATTTTTCATAGTGACTAGGAGGATAACTGGGTGATGTCAGTTCAACATATGAATAAGGCAGGCTACATACACAACGTAATATTTCGACACTTTCAGTTACATCAGTTGGTTACATCGACAGAGGTGTGTCAATCGTGCGAAAATCTCTTATTTCATGGTTCACCAACGAATAGGGAACAACTCAAAAGTTGACAGACATTAGGATTCAAAACATTTCGTTCGCCCAGTAAATTTAACCAACGACTGTGAAAAAGGCTGCATTTAATATATTCATTGTGTTCAGAGAGAACTTGTCAACTGAATACTCTCCAAACATTGTCATTTATACAGTTCCTTCTTAAGGTTGAATACATACAAACACATGAACAATGTCACGACCAATAAGTAAGTATCAATTTGAACAAATATACGCCATCTATTAGAAGCGGTGAGTGATAATAATCTGTTAACGTTATCACCAAGTGAATAATATTCATCAAAGTACTGTACTACATATTAACAATAAAAGCTGGTGTCATTGTGACAGAACTAATACAATTACAAACATCTATATGTATATATAAATTGAATATTCCCATAATTTATTCAGAACAGAATAGCTAAAGTGAACAATCGCCGCTTTCAATAAATTCTTCTGCTTCAGGCTCCACAATTATAAATCCATTAATTTAAGCATACAATAGCCAGCCAGTCAGTAAAGGCAAATTAGAGCCATATCAGAAAGTGTATTGTGGAACAAGTATAAGTCAGATGGGATGGAACAGTAGTCAGATAGCTTTTTTAATATGCATGGTCAATGAGAACATGGGACAAAATGAGATGGAGTAATTTAATTTAATGATATGTGTGTATATATATAAATATAGACACCAGAAATACAGGTTTTGAGAGTGTGTGTAATCAGGGTGTGTGAGACAATATGAAAATAATAATAATAGACATAAGTTCAAGGTTGGAAATAACGACAATAAGAATGATTGCGAAATAATAACGATGATATGGTGTAAAATTGCAAGTACTATTGGTGAATAGGAGATTAGGAGATCAGGAGTTATTCTTCAACCGAGAGAACCGCACATTAACAAATCGGTATGTGCTGACTCATTTTCACAAATATATTGGATATAAGAAGACATGCCTATACTACAAAAAAAGGCGGACTATGCTGAAATGCGAAGCTTTTGTCCGACGCAGAATGGCTGTTAGCGAGGGATGAGTCATCTGTGGATGAACACTGGGAAGGGAGTAGTCAGAGATTATTCACACAGCGATTTCAGATACCGTCCCTTTAGTCATAACACAGCCAAAAAGAAATACTAATTGCTGAAGAGAGGTACGCAACATATTCCGCAAGCAAAACGAAAGGGCTGATCTACGTGGCGAGTATCCAAGTGTCAGACTGACCAAGATGCATACCTGGAAATAAGGAACCGGTGAAACGTGAGAGTCAGGAGTGGCAGGAGGTCATTTCAGGCAACCCTTGCGAAAAACTTTTAGAGGACCCCAATTGCTTGTACCGATTCATGTTGGAGAGAAAGGCAAACAACCAACCAGGGGGCGTGCGCCTTAGTAGGTCCAAACGGTCAATACCTCACCAGTCTGGAGATGACTGAAACATTAGGTTTAGCCTTCGACAAACAGTTAAACAGGAATGTGTGTATTACCCGTACGGACCAAAATGGCGGAACTACTACTTCGCCGGAGGAAAGCCTAGTGGCTACTCCCCAACTAAACCTGGCAGTAGTACTAGGGAAGCTACAGATACTCACATCTGGAAAGTGACGACATCAGGCCACCTGTTCGGAATCAGTGCGTCGAAGCTCTCTGTAGACCCTTGTGAGACTTATTCCAACACTCGATGGATTCGAGGAAACGACCTAGAGAGTGCAAAAAAGTCATCCTTTCTCCAGTTTTCAAGGGTGGGGGCAGGCAAAACGCCACCACCAGTTTTAGGCCAGTAGTGCTACTCCCAGTGGCGTCGAAAGTGCTGGAAGTTATAATTGATCATATCAGGGAGAACCTCGATGGCGTTAAGAGAATTCATGAAGCACAACATGGTTTGAAGAAAGGCAGATCCTGTGTGGCAAAGCTACTATTGGCTTGGAACGATTGGACATCATGCTGGGATATGAATGTTCCAGTCCATATGGCCTTCCTAGACTGTGAGAAGGCATTTGACACTGTTCACCATGATCTTCTCCTACACAAAATAAGTCAGCTAGGTGGTATAGGTGAGTCGCTTTTGACATGGTTGAAGGAAGGACTATCTAGGTGAAAGGAAATTCTGCACCAAGGTCAATCGAGTCCGATCATCTTGATACGGCTCGTCATCAGGAGTGTCGCAGGGTTGTATCCTAAGACCACTGATGTTTTTGATTTTTGTCAATGACCTACCATGCCGTCTAAGCTGCCCGACTCTTCTATACACTGACGACGTAAAAATATGGAGGGCAATAAAGTGTTCGGAAGACTCAGATAGTCTGAAGGCAGATCTAAAGCTTCTGGAAGACGGGTCGGTGGCCAGTGGCATGACTTTCAACCTGAAAAAGTGCAAAGTAGTGAAATTACGCACCTGCAGGCTGCAGGATGCAAGTTACATCCTACGGAGCACCACTCAGTCTAAGCATGGTGATTGAGCCTATTACTTAAAATACCATATTAGTCAAGTTAATCCCCCTGTGATTATAACAGGAAGACTTGTCTCCCTTGTTGTATATTGGGATAATCGATGTTTTACACCAACCGGACGGGACATCCTCTGATTCCCAGGCTCTGCCTAGTACCTTAGTTAATGCAGAAATGTAAACTGTTTTCGCCATCCCTTAACACCTCTGGAGTCATTCCATCGGGTCCCGTAGCTTCGCCTCGTTTCAGACTAGTGAACGCCTTAGTAACCTCAGTTAGGGACGGAGGATTTGTGTTTATATCGCATTCAGGGAGGTGTTCGGTGAGTTGCTTGCTTTCTCGTGTGAAGCAAAGCATATTGGTCGTACGCAACATCAAGTCCACAGAAGTATTCTGGAACACTGTCTAGGTTGGCTAGCTAGCCAGAGGGGAAAAGAATACTAGCAGCTCCATCCTCGAGCAGCTTGTCAACTCTGGACATCGTGCACCCGCACTTGCATGAATGCTTCACAGTGCTACACAAAGTCCCTCACTGTCGTACAAAATGACTTCGAATACGCCATAGATGAATCATTGGCTATTGGGTATCTGAAGCCGGACCTCTGCATCCAAATGCACCACATACATTCCCTCGCCCTACCATGACCACAGTAAAGTTCTCACTATACCTTTACTATGTAAGTTTATTATCAATATTATTTTATTATCACTCTACTGCTGGTGATTAACAACATTGTGTTTCCACACAGATTTTATAAAAACACTTTATCGTATATCCACTAGTTCTTGTCTACTCTACACAACTATGCTGATAAGTCATCTCACACTTGTTACGTCATGTGCCTACTTCTTCCCTATTTTCCTAACTTCCAGTTAGTCACTCCTCCTTCCGGAGGGACGACACCTTACATTACGTAATGCATTTTTCGAGGACAAATTTTACCAGTATCTGATTGGTCTAATGAATTCCCTATTAAATTTAATTACGATCGCACATGGGCTTATGAAAATGAATCGTCGAAAAGAGAATTTTCACCGCTGTTTATGTGATATATATATATATATATATTCAGAACAAAATAGAGCGAACAATTGTGGTTTCAATAAGTTCTTCTTCTTTAGGCTCTGCAATTATATATCCATTAATTTAAGCATACAATAGCCAGTGAGCCAGTAAAGGCAAATTAGAATCATATCAGAAAGTGCAGTCTTAGCCCACTTGGTTGATACTGGACACCCGATAAAACTTGACCAGGCGTTCTCAGTTATTTACCGCGTTCCTAGTAATTTATCTAGAGGAGCTCGACTATGTCTTCTAACAGTAGCTGAAGCGGTTGCAATTAATACCAGAAAACCAGCTCTTTGTATACAGAAGAAGTATGTTCAGCCTCTATGTTTACCTTGGTCTACAATAAAGCCAACAAATCCTCCATAAACATTAACACTATAAATTCATTTCACAATTTTCTTTTCTTTTCTCCTTCTTCTATTCCTCTGTTTCATTGACAAACGTTCATTTTCGACTTTTATGATTTCATGACCTTTCTTATGATTTTATTACCTTAGGTTTAAGTAGTGCTTTTCTAACTTGTTATCGTATTTACAAAATCCTGTTCATCCACTTCATTATATTAATTATAATTATTATTTGACAATCATTCACCAATAGTGCTTGTAATTTTACACCATATCATCGTTATTATTTCGCAATCATTCTTATTGTCGTTATTTCCAACCTTGAACTTATGTCTATTATTATTATTTTGATATTGTCTCACACACCCTGATTACACACACTCTCGAAACCTGTATTTCTGGTGACTATATTTATATATATACTCACATATCATTAAATTAAATTACTCCATCTCATTTTGTCCCATGTTCTCATTGACCATGCATATTAAAAAAGCTATCTGACTACTGTTCCATCCCATCTGACTTATACTTGTTCCACAATACACTTTCTGATATGATTCTAATTTGCCTTTACTGACTGGCTGGCTGGCTATTGTATGCTTAAATTAATGGATTTATAATTGTAGAGCCTAAAGAAGAAGAATATATTGAAAGCGGCAACTGTCCACTTTAACTATTTTGTTCTGAATAAATTATGGGAATATTCAATTAATATATACATATAGATGTTTGTAATTGTATGAGTTCTGTCACAATGACACCATATGTAGTACAGTACATTGATGAACATTATTCACTTGGAGATAACGTTAACATATTATCACTCACCGCTTCTAATTTTTTTTCCTTCACGTTCCCCAGTGGAACATAGGGCTTCAAGCTAGTGGCTTGAAGTTTCTGTAGCAGTGTTTATTTTACAGGATGGGGTTGCTAGCCTCAAGTTCAACCTTTCCTCTTTACCAGCATTATTTCTGGCTTAGCGAGGTAAAGGAGTGCGTCGGCCGGGGATCGAACCCTGATCCATGTGCATGGTCGGTGAGCATCCTAACCGCTATGCCACCGACGCACTTAAAGCCAGCTCCTCGACCGGGAATCGAGCCCGGGCCTTCCACGTGACAGGCGGAGATACTCACCGCTTCTAATAGATGGTATATATTTGTTCAAATTGATACTTATTGGTCGTGACATTGTTCATGTGTTTGTATGTATTCAACCTTAAGAAGGAATTGTATAAGTGACAATGTTTGTAGAGTATTCAGTTGACAAGTTCTCTCTGAAGTTGATGAATTTATGAAATAGTGTTTTTTGCACAGATGGGAGAATGGCAATAGAATACGGAGACATGGGTGTGACAGAGTATCTAAATGAAGTTTACTGAAATGCTTTCTATCTAGAAATTGCAAATACAAATGCACTATCAAGAACTTTTTTTAATCCACATGGCCAACTTAATCTAACGATCGATGCACGGTATCACAAAGATGCTAGGCCAAGCAATCTACACCCTATTAGGTGGCTTAGACTGATATCGTGGGTGCTATGCTTTGATATCACCTTTCATAATTTCCTTTTTGATCTATTCGGGCACCGAGAAAGTGTAACACATGTCTCTTATGAAAAAGAGAAGACGTTCAGCGAAGAGAATCTTTTCGACGGCGAATTCATTCACATAGCTGTACAATCGCATTTATATATAAATATTTGTGTGTGTGTGTGTACATGAGGTTTGTCAAGTTTAGATAATTGATCAGGTAATACAAGAATGATCTAATATAGGAAGAAGGTTAATTAGACAGCAACTAAAGTAAGATTGAGTTAGGTAGTAAGTTAACTGACGTCATATAATTGACTAAAGTGTTTCAACTTAGATCAGGGTAGCAACAGAGGTAATAACAGGTAGAGACTAAGTAGAGGTGGAGTAGGACTAAAGCTGAGCCGTACTCAGCGTTCGCTATCCAAACGTATCACCGAACACTAACCAGCGTGGTTTTACAAAAGAGGAAAACGATAGCCCCGCAGCTCTATCTTAGAACATATGATAGATTCCGGACACCAAGCTACACACCAAACAAACTTCAAAGTCGTCTATAGAATACGAAGTAGTCTTCCTAAGTGTACGAATCAAACTTCTTCAAACTACAGAAGCAATGGCAATTCACTTGCTAAGTCTTGAACTCTCCATACAGAAGAAGTTCGTTCAATCACTACACTTGCAATGGACGTAATCTATCTTATTACCCGACAAGTATATTCTACCTAATCTCTTTTTCTGTCTCTTCATTAGTATTATTTTGTCTTCTCAATTGTAATATTTTACATTTTAAACTTTCTTGTTCTCTACCTCCAACCGATTTAATTTCTACACCTCACTGCCACTGTTACTGACTTGAACAATGCTCAATTTCTAGTCATTTATGTTACGTCATCTAACTTATTTGCTCAATTTCACTTCTACTTAGTCTCTACCTGTTATTACCTCTGTTGCTACCCTGATCTAAGTTGAAACACTTTAGTCAATTATATGACGTCATTTAACTTACTACCTAACTCAATCTTACTTTAGTTGCTGTCTAATTAACCTTCTTCCTATATTAGATCATTCTTGTATTACCTGATCAATTATCTAAACTTGACAAACCTCATGTACATACACACACACATAAAAATCGTTGTATATAAATGCGATTGTACAGCTATGTGAATGAATTCGCCGTCGAAAAGAGTCTCTCTTCGCTGAGCGTCTTCTCTTTTTCATATGACTCAATGGGGATTTTCAAGCTACATGTCTCTTAGACACCTGAATCAATGCTTCACCCCTGTCCTAGCTTATGGCTATGAGATGGCCAATGAAGGTAGAACACTCAAAGGGACTACACGTTTCGATTGTTGCTGCTTTCGCGTCTGGTTGCTCACTATAGGTGTAGGGAATAATCGCCAGTCACTTACTTTTATAACATGAGGAATAAACACACAGCATCGGCACATTCATTGCACACCCTTACTTCAATAAAACATTACCATTCGCTACTACGGTGTGCCACCGACAATTATACATCTCATCCAACAGCTGTACGACAAGTAATCCACAACGGGAAACTTACGGAATCCTTCGAAGTGAGGACAGGAGAAAGACAAGACTGCCTACTATCGCCAATGATTCTCCTGATTGCAGTAGACTGAATAATGCGACAAACAGCGGGCAATGAGGAAACACGCATAAAATAGACTCACACAAAAAACTGTGAGGATCTAGACTTCGCCGATGATATATGTCTGATTTCCCACAAACTGGAGTATATGCAAGTGAAAAGCAACAAGTTGGCAGAAGAAGCATCCAGAGAAGAATATGACTTCAGGTGAACATAGAGAAAACAGAGGTGATGAAGATTCCTGGACAACAACAACAACAGCAACAACAACAACTGACAACGATCAGCATAAATGGGAGGAACCTGAAAGAAACAACCTCTTTTACCTACCTCGGAAGCATCGTTTCAACTACAGGCGGACAGAACTGACGAGGATATCAAAGCAAGAATCGGAAAAGCAAGACAAGCTTTCACTACTCACGTCAAGTCTGTGTGGAGGTCAACAGCACTCAGCATCAAAAATAAGATCCGGATTTTCAACTCCAATATGAAGTCAGTGCTACTATACGGATCAGAGACTTGGCGCGTCATAAAGAGCACATCAAACAAACTACAGACCTTCATTAACAGCTGTCTTCACTCCATACGTCGCTCAAGATCAGATGGTCAGCCAGAAGAGATCAACAACAGAGATCTCTGGGAGCAAACCAACCAGGAACCGGTTGTGGAACAAATAGGCAGGAAGAAATGGAGATGGATTGACCATACTCTGAGAAAACAAATCATCAAGTGATATCAGTAGACAAGCCATTGCTCGAGTGGAACCCGGAAGGGAAACGGCGAGTTGGTCGTCCAAGGGTGACTTGGAGGAGGTCATGTGAAGAGGAGATGAAAACTTGTGGGCACACTTGGAGCCAGGTGAAAAGTCTAGCAGAGAACAGAACGCAATGGAGACGCACGACTGAGGCCCTATATTCCTCTAGGAATTAAAGGAAACAATAATAATATAATCAAAAGAAAGCCTCCTACTAAACTAGTATACAACAAAATACATAGGACTTATTAAAACACTATCTATATATAGCGGGGGGGGGGGGGAGGAGGCAAATGAGTAAACATTTATTTCTTACTTGAAACATGTCAACTTCCGACTGCATTAATTCATGTGCTCGACTCAAAGGAGTTTCACACCGTTGTATGCATCGTTGTACTTCATCAATAGGTGCACTAGTGTTTTCACAGCATTTCAAACCGCAACGAAAGAAATTCGCCTATATATATATATATAAATATGGTAAACATAAATTGTATTGTTAAAAAATACTAACCTGTATTTTACGTAGATATCCAGTATCCAGGATACCTAAGGCTTCTTCAACTGATTTCTGATAGTTAGTTTGCAATTTGTTGAGATCACGTTGGAGCTGACAAAAACAATAAGAAGAATTAGTTATGATGAATACAGAGAATGAATAATCAGGTATATCTTATAACTAGGGAGAAAATCAACAAACACGAATCCCATGTCATAAAGACCCTACGAAATAAAATGAGAATACCCACATATTTATAAGTATCGATCTACAAGTCTACAAGTGAATAACAATTTGTAATGGACTGTAGTTCTCTGATTTCTCCAATATTTCGTTATCTGATGCTGCTGACGAACGGGGGGTTTCACGCTCATGCTGAAATCCACTATTAATTTGGTTCATTGGCTTGGAAACTTGTCTTCCAATGAATGGGTTGCGGGCAAGCATCCCTCTCTCTCTTCATCTACTTAAGCCTGGTTAGTATCATTAGTTCTAAAACAATAAGTACACATTACAGTACGGTATTGCGTCACTGACCAATCACAATTCACTACCTTTCAACTCTGTCTGTCTGTTTTCGACATAGAACTTGGCACATATGTGCGGCAGTTCAAGTCGCCACACTCCATGTACCACACAAAACAAGAGAAGAAAGTAGGAGAAATGCATATTAGAGACAGTAAACAGAGGTGTGAGACAAAGGAATAGTAATAACGAAGAACAAAACAGTTTCATCGGAAATCATAAGTCACAAGGAGTGGATGCATCTGCACCAGCCATTGAGAACGATTTTGAGCCATGTCACCAATTGTTTCCAACCATTGGTTTCTACCATCCCGAGGATCCCAACCAGGAAGTCTACACCTCCCGACGTGGCTTAGACTAACTGTTGTAGATTTCATTGACTGGTGCCATGTTTTGGTTTGACCGCCGCTAGCTCTTTTCCAGCCTGACCTTATGCCAGCTAGTATTGCCCGTCGAGGAAGGCGATGACTAGGCATACGTAACACATGTCCTAACCATCTCAGTCGATGTAATTTCATAGTCTCGTCAACTGATTTCCCCTCCTTACCTAGCACTCCACGCCTAACCTCAATATTGCTCACCCTATTATACTCCTTCACACGAGAGATGGAACGCAGGCAGCTATGATCAAAGACAGATAGCCAGGCTTTTCATGTCTTCCACTTTCAATGGTCATCACTCACGGCCAGCTATAGAGGAGGAAAGCGAATATCACTTCGACGCCAGGGGTGGAGTAAATTGGCATATACCAAACGAGCCTTCTGTATAAGTGCTGATATTTCGTCAAAGATCAACCCGGTGGCTTTGGCTGATGCGACTTCCCGAATAAGTGAAGTGGTCAACAAGCTCCATCCACCACTTCACTCTCTATTTCTTAGCTGGGAGTCAATGTAGTAGAGTCCTGTAGTATCATCTTACATTTAGCAGCAGGAGAGAATCACATGCTAGACATTTGAAGACTGCTGCTCAAGATGTTTAGAAGACTCTGTATTTTGTCAGCGTCTTCACCAAGGAGGAGTATATCATCTGCATATTCATATGACACTCAACTGGAGACAAATGGACAATTTAACCAGTTAAAAAAATAATAAGAAGAAACCACCTACTGATGAAGCAAAACATGAGAACAATACGACATGTATTTGATGGGCATTCACTTACGTAATCCTATTTTGCTGGCAAATTAATGGATACATATATTCGAAATCGACTCCATCACTTCGTGTGGTACTTTATGGCAATCAGACTTTACTTGTTGATGACTGCTGGACAGAGGTAAAGTCTTCGAAATATGGAATGAAGACTCAATGTGATAAAAGAACTAGCATGTATATAGATGATTCAAGTCGGAATATTGAATGCGAACACTCCCATTATCTTCAAAAAATATGTGCTAAATTTACGCCCTTAGTATTCATAGGAATATTGCTTTAGAACATATCTAATGATAGGATTACTAGACACTAAATACTTTGAGATGGAGTTGAGGATTGTCTACGCGTATGAGAGAAGTTACTGTATGTCTCCCAGTCGAATGTTCTCCCTTCATTACATAACAGTGTCAAAATAGGGTATAACCAGTCGAATGTATAATGAATATATACATACAAAGTCTATATTGACACCCTCAAAGCATCTAATTAGTACAAAAAGTCAATCCCTGTACTAGGATCATTGAAAATAACACATAAAGTGAATAGAAAGGTTTTTACCGTATCTGTTAATTTATCCATTGAAAGTCCGACTGTTAGGGTAAAATGACAAGGGACTTGAAGTTCTGCTTAAAGAGGGATATGATTGAAATTTTATAAATATTGTGTTTTAGATCACCATATGGTCTGAAATTTAAAACAGCAACAACATATTTTCAGTAAAAAAAAAGGGGGGATAGCAGACAAAACTCAATACCAGTTACACTACTCACTGTTTACTACTGAATGCATAAAATATGATACCTCCAGCTATATCAGGAGAGTACTAAACTTTAGCACACAATATTTTCCTGACTTGTGTGGCACAGCAGTTAGGAAGCTCGCCGACCGTGCACATGGCCCGGGGTTCGAGTCGCCTGCCACTGACGCCACACTCATTTACCTCGCTAAACCAGAAATAAAGCTGGTAAAGAAAGGTCGGGCATGAGGCTAGCAACCCCATCTTGTAAAAATAAACACCACTGCTTCAGAAACTTCAAGCCTCTAGCTTGAAGCCCTATGTTTCACTGGGAACGTGAAGGAACTAATAATAAATAATAAATTTTCCCGACTAGACGGAGGCATAACACGATTTAAAAAAACGTATTTCAGTACATTTAGACATATATACTTTCCTTTTGGCAGCTACAACTCATTGCGCAGTCACACAAAATGAAACGTTTAATTAAAAAGTTTCCTGTTCAACAATGCATTTTACTCTAATTTTTTAAGTCTATTAATCAATGCAACCCAGAATCTAGTCAAACCAACCATGTGCCGGTACAAGGAGGTTCGAAAAATGTCAACTGTACTACGTAATATATATGTATATGCATATATGAGAACGGTATTAGACATCCCAAATAGCCTACTAAAACAATTTATCCCGTCCATATTGTGAAATGGAAGCTTCTGAGCTCGGGTTAAACACGAAATTGTAAGAGGAAGGAATATGATATAATTCCTAAAATGCAGAGCACACACCATATGAAACAACTGAAGACAATGTACAAAGAAATACATGTTAGTACTAGAACAAAAAAGAGGCAATATATGATGCTGGAAGCTGTATTCGAAATTACAGACAGCGAGCAATAGCTAGTTACGATGTAAGGCAAAGGCAACTTGAATGAGATATTAAACATTTGAATTCGGTACCATTACGAGCACATTGTATGTAGAGTATCAATTACACAGTGGACGCTGCCGTGTATATAACTGAAACCAACTCCGCATCTCATCAAAGTCCACACTATTGCTCACAATATCTAGAAAAAATGATTTCCCATAGTGAGTGAATTCCGAAGTCGTTGAGTATTGGTTTTATCAACATAACTGTTTTGACCACATCTTCTCGGAAGCTCTATAGGCTTTTCAGTTTTCAAACGTATCTCGAAAGGTGACAATAGAAGTATTCTCAAGTGCCATATTCGCGAAGCTGATGGAATTCAAATAATGACCATTTATCGCCAGTGAACACAGCATCTAAATCGTTTGCACTGCTGTTGTATGCTCATTAAACCACTTCGCATTACCCGTGTCTGCGACAGCGACTATGCTGTTGTCTGTCACCAAACAAACGGCGAGGAATTTAACTGCTGTTGAATTCTGTAAAAGGAAATGAAATGAATCGGAAATACAACGGTATTACTTTAATACGTATCAGGTTGATATATATATATATATATGCTGTTATGTTTTGCCCATCAACCTGATACGCATAAAAGTAATACTGCTGTATTTCCAATTCATTACATTTCCTTTTTCAGAATACAACAGCTAAAGCTGATAAACATAGCCGGTAGTTTGTGAGCCACTTCTAAAAAAATGTCGAAAAAAATCCTAGGGTGTTGAATCAGTGTCAGTCATACTGAATACAAAAACTCAACCGTAGAAATAAAAACAGCTCTTATAATTTTCGGAATTCAGTCACTCTGGGATGTCTGAGTTATTTCAGACATTGTGAGATTTGATTTAGCATCACAGTGTTCTTGGGGGAAGTTATCACCGGATAACTAACAGATGAATTTTATCCAGGGGGCATGGACGAAATGCACGCCAATTATGAGACCCTCTTTTTAGGTAGTGAATTATATTTAAGGTGTGATCTAACCATTTTTCTTCACCTTTGTTCATTCAAGCAGGTAAACAACCGGAGTTTTTGCAACATTAGGCGATAAGATCCTGAATGCTTAAATGATTTATTTATTGAAAATCAATAAATCGTATTAATTAAAGACCCGACGGTAAAACAATCAACCTAAACTGAGTAATTGAAGTAACTCAACCTGAAGTAATTTCGAAACAGGTAGAACACGTGTAAATTGTAAACCCGCTCGTTTTAGTGTACAATGGATGGAAGAATACTTCAGCTATCCGCAGTGTAACATTTAACAATGTCAGATAAAGAGAATTATAACGAAAATAATAAAGATAGTCGCGTTAGGGATGATTTGGATATTGGAAAAAGGAAATGAGGGATGTACAAATTAAAATTTAAACTTCGGATTTGTTGATTTTAGATAGAAGGCTTTTGTCTGAATTTCTATGCTTGTCCACGCCCTTCTTGAGTGAATCACTTGAGATTAATGACACTGCTTCTTCTGAGTGTCATTATCAGGAGCTGATGACTAGTGAAACTCAGAAATATTTTCTCCCTGGCCGGTACACCTCAAAGTCGTACTAAACTTCAAAGAAAGGAGGGATGCCATTATAAACAAGTCTCGAACTCCTAAAGGATCAGGCGTATACGTCCGTGCTGACCTATACCTAGCAGACAACGTCTAAGGCAGCCTGCGGCTCTAGAATTAAGCGGATAACGCCGAATCGGCGAAAATAGACCTTAATATTAAGGGTCTTCTGGTTGTCAGATTTCGGAGTTTCATCATTCCGAAACCTCTGTGGGTGGGCTGCGGAAGCACCAAACTGAATTGGCTGTTTGCTACACAAATACCCGCAGCCTGCTGAATAAACAGACTGAGCTGTGTAATATGACAGACTCCGGAAATCCGGATGTAATTATCATCACAGAGACAGCCCACACCCAATGTCACTGATGACGAAGTTAACCTGCCAAACTTCTGAGTGCGTAGGGTGGACCAACTTAGCCGCAAAGGGTGTGGCGTGGTCATCTACCTCAAGAAATGCCTAACCGTATGTGGCATCGAGGCACTCGCTCAAGCTGCTGACTTAAATGCATAGGTCAAGACATTGGCCCAATTGCCATATACCGCAGTCCTGAATGCAATGCGAACGACTTCCTAATAGAAAGATAAGCTCCTAGACATCCAAATGTCGAAGTCTCGCAGTCGGTGACTTCAGCGCCCCAACAGTTCACTGGACAAGCCTTACAACGCCATCTTCAGACAACTCTTCTGATCATAAACTGCTGGAATCCGGCATTTCCCTAGCCCTAGTCCAATATGTCATTAAGCCCACGCCCTATGACTCACAGCACTCCTCTTCAGCTCCGGACCTAGTGTTCTCCCGTGATGAGGATATTGATCTCACATAACACCTTCCTCCTTTAGGAAGAAGTGGTCACACTGTGCCCACTTGCAAGTTCTCAGCAGTAGCATTATGGGCAAAACCCCAGCTCGACCAAACGTTTTGAAAGCTGATACAAATGCAATCATCTCAGCGGCCAACTCAGTGAACTGGTACATAAACCCAGTGTCACAAGTAGAATCCGCATGCAACCAGTTTAAACATCTTTGCGCCCAAGTAACTGAACCTTTCATCGGTTAGTCAGTCCCAAAGGGTCGGAAACATTGCTCCCCTTGAATAAACCGAGAGATCCTTAAATTACTCAGGAGTAGACAAAAATGTTGGAACCTGTTTGTCACACTTGAGACTCCTGAGACCATGAAATTATGCAACACCGCTAGGAACGGCGCTCCTGCAGAAATCCGGCAATCAAGAATGAATTTCGAAGCACTTCTGGCTCAAAATGCAAGGGCACAAACTAAGAACTTGGGGAATAAAACCTCTAATGGTGTCCCAAATCTGACTGTTGACAATGACACAATCGAAGAGAATCAAGAAGAAATAGAAGAAATGTCAGACTACTTCTCCCAAATCTTTACACAGGAGTCGTCAATCCCTATAGGATCATTTTTGGCTGCATCAGAGGAACACAAGATAGATCCCGTTGACATCTACCAAGATGTCGTGCTCAACCGCCCGGTGAAACTAGATGCAAGGAATTCAACGGGTCCTGGTAATCTTCATCCAAGTCTTCTCAAATAGCTATTGGCTCACATAGCCGGTCCACTGACCTCGATCTTCAAGGCATCTCTAGTAAATGGAGTGTTACTACGTGACTAGAAAGACGCCGCAGTGACCCCCATCCACAAAGGAGGGCAAGACAAAGCCCTTCAAACCGCAGGCCCATTAGTCTCACCAGATCGTTAATCAAGTCCCTGGAAAGAATCGTTAAGAAAAGTATCATGGCATATCTGGAAAACGACAGCACAGCATGGCTTCCGAGGGAACCTCTTATGCCCGTCAAATCTTCTCAGTGCGAGAGAAAGCTGGGTCAGATCAGGGGAAAACAAAGGACTCGTTGACGTCGTCTTCATAAACTTCAGCAAGGCCTTCGATAAAGTTCCTCACAAAAGACTACTCACGAAGTTGGAAAGTCTTGGTATCAAAGGCAGCTTACTAAACTGGATTAGGAAATGCCTCATAGATAGGAAGCAGAGGGTCAGGATCAACTCGAAACTCCCCTCCTGGACAGTAGTGCATAGCGGAGTGTCACAAGGCGCGGTACTCGGACGTCTCCTATTTATTTTGTATATCGATGAGTTATCTGTGCTCACGGATTATCCAATGGTCCTATACACAGATGACTTAAAATGTGGAGAGAGCTGAAGGGCGATAGAAATATTCTCGCCTCGCAAGAGGACCTCAACAAGTTATTATATTGTTCTGGAGTAAAGAAGCTCCCGATCGATGTAGCGAAATGTGCAGCCATGCGCACCGGACATGCAAACATCAGCACCTACTAACTGGAGGGAATAACACTGCCATCAGTTCAAACTCATTTGGATTTATGTGTCATAGTAAGCCACGATTTAAAAACTACAGCGCACTGTCACACAGTGGTTACACATCCTTATGGCCGATTCGCAGAGCCCTTACTAGAATCATCAGAGATATGTTCACCTCCTTAAATACATCTCTGGTGAGGTCAAGACCGGGAAACTGTATCCAGGCAGCCAGCTCTTGTCTAATAGGGGACTCACACATTCTAGAAAGGGTTCAAAGGAAGGCAACACGAATGGTTCCTGATATGACTAATTTACAATACGAGGAAAGACCAGACAGTTTAAATCTCTTCTCCCTATCATACCATGGGGAAAGAGGAGGTTTAATCACAATATTTAAAATTTTAGGTAATGACTACTAACCTGACCTATTCTCACTTTTCCTCCCCACCAGGTTGGAACATCTTAGGGGATATAGAAGAAGAGTTCAAAAGCCAAGGAGAAATCGTACTGCTGTTGAGTACTGGTTCTCACTCCGAGGCATAAGATGTTGCAACAGACTGCCAGAATAAACGGGGTATGAAAACTCAAATGATTCATTCAAGAAAGGTTTGGACAGGAGCAGAAATTTACCAGGAAAAGAGCAACATAGGTGCAAAGCCGACCATATTCCACCGATAAATATAAGTGTGAAACTATTGAAAACTCCTGCTATGTCCTCTAGAGTGTTCCAACCTGATGGGTGGAGATCAAGTGCATGGTCATCATTTATAATTTCAAGCTTTGTGATGTGGTCTCGTCCCTGCCTGCGGTATGACAGTGAGGAAAGATTCAGACTTTTTGGTCTACCCTCGTATGACAAATTAACCATGCCGGCAATCGTGCGTATCACCTTCCTTTTAATTCTTTCTGTAGTATGTGAATCCCTCTTAGGACAAGGACTGGTGGTCTGGATATAGCGTTCCCGTCTCGACTGCATCAGAGATGTATGTAAAGAGGTGAACATATCTATGTTGATTCTAGCAAAGGCTCCACGAATTGCCCATAAAAATATGAAACTGTGTGCTGTCACAGCACGACAATGTTTTATCTTTCGCTTTGTAGTCTTTAAACCACTACTAATTATGGCGCCTTAATCCAAATGAGTCTGAACTGATAAGAGTTTTATTCCCTGTAGTTCTTATGAGCTGACGCTTGCATGTCCAGTCAGCATAGTTGCGCATTTAGCTACATAGACAGGGAGCATCCATTCTTTGAACCACTCTGACAATTTGTTGAGGTCCCATTGCGACGTAAGCGTATAGCTGTTTTTCTTTAACTCTTTCCACATTTTCAATTCATGTGTGCATAGAACCACAGGAGAATAAGTGGGCACGGATGACTAATTGATAAGTAGAATAAATATGACAGGTCCAAGTACCGTGCCTTATGGCACTTCAACACGTGCTGTTGTCTATGGAGAGAAGTTTGAACTGATCCTGAATGTCTGTCTTCGAACTATGAGGGATTCTTTAATCCACTTCTACAAGCCACCTTTGATTCCAAGGGTTTTCGATTTCACGAACACCCCTTTGTGAGACCTTTACTAAGACTCTGACTAACTCTTTGAAGGCAACGTCGACAGGTGCTAGATGCATCTTTCAGATACGATAAATGCAAGGGGAAATTTTTGAGTTCGCCTCCTTAAGTGAGCATCATACTTCATAGACAGCTAAAATGGTTAGCTGTCTGCCTTCACGGCGATCCAAAGTTGCCACCGCAAGTTATGATGCACACCATTCTCAAACCTGTAATTTGGTCTTATAAGTTTATATTTCAGGGGAATGTAAATAGGTTTAGCGCTTTGCCCTACGCTTTCCATAAAATCATGAGGCGTAAGGTTAATTTATGAAGTATTTATTTCTGTAGCTGTAATTATGGCGGAGTACTCTGGCCAAATAACGTCGTCTAGAGAGGTTGGAGACATAATGGACAAAGCCACGAAATCTTACTTTCATTATTTTGAACACGGCGTCCAGAGACGTGTGTAGAAGAAAGGAAGTCAGGCAATATTACAGAACACATGGACTCACTTTTAAAAGCCATGGTTTGATCGACATGTAGTAAGCATAACACTATTTCTTATATCTAAATAAATGGGAAGGAAGCCTTGGGAGGAGATAGTGGCGGTGATGTAAGTGCGCCTTTGTAAATGTAAATGCTGAAGATGTAATAACCAGGCGTATATCTCATCTAATTTCATATTTTACTTATATACAGTATGCTGGCGGTGGGCGTTACTTGACGGGTTTGCAGTAATATTGTACTGTAATATAATCAAAGAAGATACTCCAAATGAAGAAGTAGTGATCTCTTCCTTCAAT